CTATACGACAGGTTTTTTTGAAAGGTTTAATATATACAACAATTTTTTTGAAAAGTAAAACAATACTGTTTTGTTTTAGTTGTGATAAGAGCGTGTACTTGGCGCCTTTTTTTTACCTTTTTTAAAAAAGGTAATTTTTTGATAGATATTATTTCTTTTTTTTTAATAATATATATACGACAGTTTTTTTATTTAATATACATATACAACAATTTTTTGAAAGTATTAAAAGACCTCGAGTTTCCGCTCGTGTACTAGCTTTCCGTTTATGTAACGCGTCGTTAAGCACTCTCGCGACCCGTTCGATCGCGTGCGCTTACGGTACGCTTAATAATTTTCTTTCACCCATTCGAGACATTACCTTTCGTCCGCTTTTCCGATAATTTCTCGTCTATCAAAAATTGAGGCGTTTTTTTCTAGTTAAAAATTTCGCAAGACCACGCAAGAACGTAGTCAAAAATTGATAGAGAGCAAACCTCTTTTCATTGATATAATAAACAGAATGAAATATTATAGCTTATTTATCTGTTTATTAATTTTAGTATTAATCTGTTTTCTAAACATAATTAATCATGCATTCTTTAGTTATTGATGTTATCTGGTGGAAAAAACATACTTATTTTATCGATAATGATCGTAATCGCTGATTACTTAATCGAGAAATTTATCGTAACGATTCGTTGATATCGATAATAGCAAAAGATATAGTTGAAATTATATCAACGAGTCATTTAAATTATAGCTGTATTTGCTATAATTGCATTATGTTTATAATTGCATTATGTTTATAATTGCATTATGTTTATAATTGCATCATGTTTATAATTGCATTATGTTTATAATTGCATATATTATTATAATTGTATTATATTTTAAAGGTAAAAGATTTTCCCTTCATTAAATCGTACGTTTGTAATATGCTATATCATTATCGTTCGTTACTGATATTACAATTAGAAGTTGTGTACGTCGTTAAGTAATGAAGTATCGTTAATTATTAGGTATAGCATTCTATTAAACAGCACATGTTTCAAGACTTTAGTGTATGATTTGTCTAAAATAAATAAAATTAATTATCAAGGTTCAATATTTCTGTTCTATGTATATACTAAATTAGTTCTAACAATATTTATCATTTCCAGTCAATTTCATTTTGTGTTTTACAAGATTTTTTGTTTAGTTTATGTTTATAATCTTTTTTCTATGGATAAATAAAATTCAATAATATACCTAAAATATGATATAAACATTTTTTTACACTTAATTCTCTGCCCACACTGTGATGTGGATAATTTTGTTGTCAATCATAGCGTTAACTACAGAAGACGACTTATGCTATATTTTTTAAAATATAAAATTGACTGAAAATTACAAATATTGTTGAAACTAATCTAGGATACTCAGAACAGAAATATTAAACTTTGAGCTATTCAATTTTATTTATTTTAGACAATCATCCTCTAAAGTACTCGAATCATGTATGAATAACCTAGACAAAATAAAAAATTTTCAAAGGTGTAATAGATACTTACTAAGGCATTCACATTCACCAACATATCACTTATTTCATTTAATACGAATTTCTAACAAATTTGGTCACTCGCACTACACTGCTCTGGATTGATAAGCAGTCTTGAGTGTGCACCAAAGTAACAGAACAATGTAGTGCGAGTGACTAAATTTGTTAGACCGAATTCACTATTATTACTTTTTTATAACACTTTCTGATCTGAAAGGTTATGTAAAAATGTCAAATCGTAAGCGCACGCAGCGCGGCTTCTCAGCGCCATCAGCGCACCTAACGTCAGAAATCGGAAACTGGACATTTTAGCAGGACATTTTAGCTGGACATTTTTATCGTATTATTTTATATTGGCGCGAGACACTACCGTGTCTCTTGATATTTTATATAGACATTTCGACTTTGGACTATTATAACTTTTTTCTACAGCACCTACAGTAAAAACAAGCATACTTTTCTTATATAATTTGGGTATGCGCTATCGATTGAGCCTATTATCAACTCAATCGGCCCAGCCGTTATTGAGATCCGATAATCTCGGCTCGTCTCAACTTTCGGGCTCGCGTAAAGATACACGGTCGGTCTTGCGCTGCGCGTGAACTTGGCGCGAGACACTACCGTATCTCTTGATTAAATAGTGAGAGGCGAGGGGACTTACCGAAATAAAGCACCCCGATGGTGAGAGAAAATGGCAAAAACTAATTTTCTGATTACAGCACCATCTATCACGATTCGAAAAAATGTCTCGGACAAAACTTACGTATTTTTTTCCAAGGAATCCGAATCTGCAATAAAAAATGGGGGCTCCCATTTAAAATTTCAAAGTTGCCACCCGCCCCACTCCCAAGGAGCGGTGGGGGCGGGTTAATTTTTACACAGGCAGACGTCCCCTTGATAATATTAAAAGTTTATTTGGGACATTTTTCCGTACAATGCTTATTTTTCGAAATATTTAGTTGTCTCAAGTTAAATGGGACACCCTGTATATGGCGCCAGTAAGATAAAAGATTTTTAACTAAATAAGACACATCTAAAAATTATACAAAATATTTATTCTGCATAATTAACAACTGACAGTTGCATGTTTATAAAAAATCCTTCATGATAAGTTTCGCGTCCAAGATTCACAAAATATTCCAAAACTTTGTCTCCGATTTTTCTTAGCTCACAATAAATATTTCGATTATCATTGTTAAAAAGTTATTGATGTATTCTTTTATTTTTTTTTTTCTTATATAACATCTATATTGTATATATGTATCTTACTTTACGAAAACTCTCGTGGAAAGGTAAATCGAGTGCTCTTAGAATATATCATTATGTAGAGATTATGGTAATAATGAATGCATGAGAGGAATTCAAATGCTACGTAGAGAAGGATGTGAAATAAATCATATCGGCGTGTCTAACAAAAAGGATCGCATTTGCCAACACGTGCTAGATGTAATGGCGTAACCGTCGAAGATTTATGAGAAAGTCATGATCTCGTGGTGTACTTACGGTCTTAATGGTGGCGATCAATTCGCGTATGCATTCGATGCACGTCGTGGGTTTCCCGCAGATGCTGATGAGGCGATCCGTGCTGCGGGGGCAGGTGTTCGAATAGATTTTGATCCTGGCTCCGGTTTTCTGGAACACAAAAGATATTCGGGCACGTTAGACGACAGCCATTTAAAGATCGGAGTGAAGATGTCGGAAAACTTCCCGCATATCTATTTGCATTGGAAGGGTGAAGTAAGGATCTTCCGTTACGATCGAAAAGTTCCGCGGAATCGAGTAGATAATGATTCGAAAGTTCGCGTTTACACCGAACTCGGGTGCATGTCGCACTAGAAATATGGATCTGTTGACTCTGGGAAGAAACCTAATTTTATATTTTATATCTATATTTCTTTCTTCTTTAATAATTAAATTTCCCGTTTTCGTCAACTTTTCCACCAATCTGATCTTCATCCTTCACCAATTACTGATTTCAGCTGAGATTGATAATTACAAACGGCGACATCTACAACTCTTTTTAATTAGTATACAATCGTAAGTCACGACACCCGTCTATTCGTTCCCTCGGCAACTCTTGTCCATCTTCCGGTTAACGACTTAACGATGCTCGAATGTTTTCGTACGTGCCATACTAATCTACACTCCTGTTCTCTTCGCCGCGAGATTTCTAAGTAATACTTTCGAGACGACAATGGTCAGATCGCGTGCTGATAGTCGCTTAACGGTCCGCCCCGTATTTTCCCGAGATCGTGATCACACGCCACCGTACAAGTACGAGTGGCGGCAAAAATGCAGCCGCTCGATGGCCCTTCAATTTTTCTCCGGCTACTTCGTCTTGTCGTTCGCGCGCCGTAAAATAATCAACGCGCAAACTTTTGTTGCGCGGGGATAGCGAAACGGGGCTGTTATGGTAACCTTGCACATTTATAGAAGATGAACTGACAGAAAGTGATGTACTACATGCGATGAACGCGCAATAGTATGCGGAGATAGCTTTGATGCGAACAACGCAAAAATGAAAAATTGCCGATAACATCGACAGCTTGGTATGCTCAAACGCGAAATATCCAAAACAGATAACAATCTTGCTCGTGTGTGTGTGTGTGTATATATACGCGGCACAGCGTCCAGCAACTGTAACATTGTGCGGAGAAATCGCGCCGTTTAATTACGCAGATCAAAGCAGCCTCCCAAAACCCAGCTCTAGCCTCTGTACAGGTCCATTCAAACGTTTTCGAAGTAGACATTGAGGCCTACATGCGTATCTGAATACAGCGTTAATTTCGAGTGGGATGAAGAGCGATAGATTCGGGAGAAATGCACGGACAGAGGCAAAAAAAAAGAGAGAGCAAATGCGGTTTATGCTCCGAGTTTGACGATAGTTTGACAAAGTAGAAAATTGTATGTTTTTGAGGGAGGATGAAAGGATTCGGCGTGCATGCCGCTTTAATTTTGCGAAAAATGAAATTCGACGATATTCGATAGCCGGGGGAACAAACGGCGGAACACATAAGTCGCTCGCAGATACCTATAATTGATCAGCGAAATTAAATAAGCGGAGAAATGAAGCTGAGAAATAAAAGCTTGTCACTTGTACAGTTTTCCGATTCGAAGGAAAAATCGATGGAACGCCATTGCACACGATATACGAAAAAGTTAGACATGATTTTAATCAGATAGATTGATCGCGATGTGACAAGAAAAGAGAAAATAAACACAATTTCTTAAGCTTGCGTTTTCAAGTCTGTCAGCATCGTCGCATTCTATATTAGCTAGTCGAAAATGTACCACTCGATCTCACTGAAAACAAGTCGCTTTACTTTATTTATGTATTATAACGCCAAAGTAAGATTTATTGCGGGAGTCGGCGGAGCGACTTTGATAATTAATCGACGAAGCTGGAGAGAGAGAGAGAGAGAAAGAAAGAGAGAGAGAGAGAGAGAGAGAAAAGGAGAAATAAATAGCGAAGATAGAAAGCTTCTCGTTGTAGTGTTTCTTGACTCGCGTTTCTCGCAAGCAAGACGTCCCGGGGGGATTCTCGAAAGAAACTTCCGCTAGCCAGACTTTCAGCCTCTCTGACATTCGATATCAGTAAACTTGAAAAGAGCATTACAGATCGATTGGTGCCTTTGAAGAAATCAGGGTGCCATAAATAGTCGCGTAAGTCATTAAAGAGCTGAAGTATTCCGTAATTGCGTGACGGAAAGCGGGTTATTTTGAATCGAGCAATCGAACAATGATTCATCGACGTTCCACCGCGCCGAACGAGAGCTTCTTAAACGTAATACATTCTTGATTGTTCCGATGTGCCACGACTATATAGATTTTCAATTTTCCGGAAAGTTTTAGGAAGACCTTCCGAAACTTTCCGCGATCGCCGGACTTTCTCTTCAGTTAAAATTTTCCTGAATATTCAGGAGTCAAAAGTAATTAACCATCTCGTAAAAGTTTCAAGGTTAAAAACTTGAAATAATTATGCCATTTTGCGAATTCGAAGAATTAACGTTATAGATATAGAATAACTTTTAGCCTGATAACTTTCGCTTTATCGTTCATTTTACGCTTCTTATTCGAGGATTGAGTAATTATTTATGCGAAATACGACTTAAACAAAGACACGGAAAAATTTATATCAAATTTACGGAAGGTTACGGGTCTTTGTGCGCTCGTGTTAATTCAGCACGAACATCCGAAGGATTTCAAAGTCCTCGGACCGAGAGGATAACCATATGAGAGGGGCTTTGTGAAGATGAACCGCATTGCACCCAAATTCGCATTTGCTTAACAGTGCTCCGCTGCAGTGTGGCATCCGAGGTGCAGAAGTCTAAAGTTTACAAACTTCCGCGCGGTATTACCAGCAGCGTGATGCACTAATCTAAACAGTCGTCCCGTTCAATTCAACGCGACAAAGTTCCCATCCCGCAGTAAAGTTCCACACTGTCAACTGCACTTATGTAAACGCTAAGCGAGTCGAGAATACCGCTCGATACTAATTTCGATATCTGTCTTACTGGGGCGTTAATGATAACAATCTCAGAATCACATTGTGTTTACACGCAAATTTATTTTGTTAGCGTAATTCTTTATATTTTCCGCTTCTCATATCCATTTTTATATTTCTTGACTTTGATTCGTATCAGAGCTGTTGATTTATTATATTTGGAAATTAAAAATTGAAAATTTAGCAGATCTAATTGATTTGTTATTTTACATAAAAAGTAATTCAATATTATAAGAATTATTCAAATGTATAATTCTTACAAAATAGTAGCAAAAACTAATTGTAAACAATTAAATAGTTTTAGAAAATTATATTTTAACAAATAATTAAATTTGCGTCATTAACAGAGCTTCGAAATTATGCGATTTTCATGTTAAATTCTCCAATTTTTTTGCAAATCATTTCTGTATAATTTAACACTTGATAAATTTACATGAGATCATAGTTCACCTTAACCCATATATATTCATGTCAAAACCTGTTTGCCAGTAAAGATAGTGATTTGCTGTATTGCTCGCTTCTAATTCAGCAGTAGCACCAGTGACATCAAAGCGATATATTACGATTTCAAAAATTGCGTTGTACACCGTAGCGATAACGCGTACAGTGTATTGTGAATCGTCGTCTTTCTGGAAATACGTCCACCTTTTCCAAACCAGGTAAGCTTCGATACGAATCCTAACTATGATTTATGTAAATATTAAAAACTCGATGAATCATCGGAGTAAGTAAAATGAAATTCTCGTTTTACAAATCGACATACCGTATCGCCAAAGTAGATTTTCAAGCTTTCTGGACTATTTCGGCAAATATTCATTCCCACCCGACACATTTTAGACTAGTGAACTAAAATTTACATTCCGCGATCGGAGTGACGATGCAGTATCGATCGGAAATCCGAAAATTGAACACTTGGGCGCGTTCACCCGACCTACATAAATTTTGTCGAAATAAATAATAACAATCAATTAAGTACGAATATAATTGAGAAACGAGACGTCCTACGTCAGCCGAAAATTGAACGAGGACGTCAGGAAGGTCACAGAATAAATAGATGTGACCGTTCAATATCGGCGTGGGCGGCGTATTTCGCCGGAATACCGACGGAAAAATACGCGGGTACTGAAATTCGCCGCGTACGAGAAACCGTTTCGACGTGCAACCTGACAGCGCGAGAAACCCGCTTTCGCTATTTGACGTTCGCGCGAGAGAGGAGAAATTGAGCGGCCGGTGCAGTGACTCCGAGAGCCGCGTGAGATAGCGGACGCGCGACATCGTCATCGTCGTCGAAGCTCCTTTTGCCGTCGTCGTTTCTATACAGCCTGTTTTCCCTTTCAAAGTGCCACCATATCGGGAAGATCGCGCACACGCGTCATTGTTCGAAGGTGACGCGGAGGGCATCTCTGAAGCGACATTCGGTAAAACATTTTCAGCTGCCGTATAGAATATGCCATATAGGCTGAGTTCCACTTGGTGATCGCAACGCTCGCGAACATTATCTATCTTTCTTTAACTTTCGATGAAAAACAAAGATAAAATGATTCCACAAGCGTTGCGATCGCCAAGTGGAACATACCTATAGTTGTACCATAATGGAGCGTACATTGTTGCGAGGCATTTCAAAATTTGATCACCCGGCTCTTGCCTGTAAACGATTTTCTTTGCAATTTATCTTCCCAGTGCACCATGACGGACGTTTATACGGCCGATGAAGTCGCGCATCACGATCATGAGGGGGATTTATGGATAGTGATACATGGGAAGATCTACAATCTCACGTCGTTTCTCAAGGAGCATCCTGGCGGCGAGGAGGTGCTGCTGGCGCTAGCGGGAGAAGATGGAACAGACTGCTTCGACAGTATCGGTCATTCTCAGGAGGCGTTGTTACTGCGAGAGAAGTTTTATATCGGAGAGTTAGTTGGCGGCCCGAGAAGTCAACCAAGCAGAAAGCAGGAAACGAATGCAGGTTTGATCATTTTCTTTCCTGTTTCGATTGCCCTTCTCGACGCTCGAATACGAGATACGAAAGTTTAAGCAGCAATATAAAAAAAATTAAGTAACAGATTCTTCCTTAATAAATATTTATATTGCCTATTGTCTTGTGTGTGTAAATATATTCAATTTTTTTAATGGCGTCGCCATTTTTCGATGTCAACACAATTAATGCATTATATATGTAGATTTATAAATAATGTATATTTACAATTTAACAGTTAAAATTAATCAGCAATGGAAACAGCCAGTGTATAAAGTAATTAAAGTCAGTATGACAAATAAGTGATTGCCGTGTAATGACTATGATTCATTACCGCGCATAAATTGTCTGCCTTTATTGTCACTTTGCTGTAAGAAATATTTTTATTTCATACAGAAAGACCAGCAACGACGGCCAACGATGACTGGCAACGTAAAGCCCCGAAAAAAGGGACATCATCATGGCTCCCGTATGCTTTAGTTTTCGCTATTATATTTTACTATTTCTGGTTTTAATATAATGATAAATTTCATGTGCGGGATTCGGTCAACAATTAATTTGAACAAAATACTGGAATATGCAAAGTGCAATGTTGTACGAAATTTGCTTCAAAAATATTAAACTTATTCTTCGTTAAATTTTTCAAATAATATATTGTCTTCAGCAACATATAAAAATCTCCTTTTTCTCCGTTTTCTCCTAAACCTAATGTTAAAGTATATGTATATCAGTAAACATTTAATCATTTCATTGATAAAATATAGATAAGTATTATATATATAGATAAGTATATATGTATCATTCACACTTATCATTGTTTGTGTAATTAAATTTGTGCTTTGTAATACATTTTAAATTGAGGCAACCACGAAGGAGAGAAATAACATAATATAAGAAATAATAAATATAAGTAAAAAAAAAATTGATTGCAAAATAAGAAAAGAAATTAACAAAATAACAGCTAGTGTAATTCTTCTCATTCTAATTTATAATTTTTCACACGCAAATAATATTCAAAGTTTGTTCTACTGAAAATGTGTCAAGAAAGAAGTGTATCATCTATATAGTGTTTTAGAATAATAATTACGTGTTCATTTAATGCTAGAAAATTTCCATTTTACGGAATGACAGAAATCAAAAAATATTCAAGTTATAAAATATTGTCGATATCGAAGCACACAATCGGCGTGATTATTTTTTTATAGCCATCAATTCAAACTGCTAGGAATATTCGCCAAGGAGAATCGCATTAGAAAATGTCTAATCAATATATTGTGTGTAGTTGACTCAATGTCACGAGCAAAATACGATCGGCCATCGCGCTTATCTTCCTGCAGCATGTACATGAGCAAATACGGCGGCGTCACCGTGACTAGACGCTTTTACATATGAATCGAACATCATGCTACATAATATACGTGAGCGCCATACGCGTAGAAATAGAAATAATACAAGCTGCCTTAGAACCAGGCATTAAGAAACGTAATATATTATTTTCATTGCATATTTTCAAGCTACAAGAGATATTTTGCAATTTAATCAAATTATCATTATCGCAAAAAAAGAAAATGACATGAGAGATAATTATAAAAATGATTTATCGATCTTCGCGCTGACTTGTTCAAACTGTTTAGAGTATAAAAAGTGAATTTATTATCACTACAAATATTGTTAATTACTATTTTCTTATTTGTCCGACATTGCGGATAGATTTCAGCTAGCTTTTGCATTAGAAAAGATCTAGAATATATCCAGTTTTCTAATGCACCAGCTATGCGAACCTACTTTACTGATATAAATAGCGCAAGTAAAACGCATTGCAAAAATTCTATGCAATAAGTGCGTTGATAAATGTTCGTGGAATTAGCAAAGTTATCTTATCAGTCAGTGAAGGACTAATCCATAAAATAGTATCCATGAAAGTGAATATATACTGTGCAAAGTTATTTTCGTGATTAACATAATCTCGCATATTTTGGAATTGTTCCAATATAATATATTGACCGATTATTCGTATAATAAACAGCTAATTATGCTTGATATCATTTAATATTGCCAATTTCTCAAAGCAGAACTCTGATATAATAAAACATTCAGAATCTTATTGACTTCATTATCATAAATCAAAAGAAAATTTAACAGGTTTTTGCGAAATTACAATTCTTACGCACAATTGAGTTCGACTTTTCAAACCGGTTCTGACGTGCCGCCGTAAATCCGACCTACAAACATTGACCATGATTTAATAAAAAAGATCTAACATTGGCGTGTTAGACGTCTATGTGCGTACATCCAGCGACTGCGGCAACAGAAGCGTGTGATTACACGGTTGGCAACGTCGCGACCGAGCAGATAACGTGGAAAACGACTGTAGTGGGGCTGAAGAGAGCACGTAGCGGAGATGCAGAGAAAGAGGGGATTATAAAGTTAGTTCCAAGCAGCAAGTGCGAACTTCACAGTATTTGTGCGAGCGCGGCTTCGAGAAGGAGAGACTCGCGCAACGTTCCGTCCACGGAAATCACGGCGATTTCGTATCTGCGCTTCACCTGCGTTGCTGCCACATTGCGTTCCTCCTGTTTGCAACAAAACGGACGTTCTTGCTCCAGGAAAGCGTCGACGCGCACCGCAAATACCGAAGGAAGAGGAGGTACGTTCGAAACGACTGACGATCCGTACTCGTCTGTCGCAAACTCTCAAACAAGCACTTCCTGCGTGAGAAGGGAGACTCGACGACCCGTTTATGTCAGCGAAAATGTGGGTGGACTCTATCGACCCGAATGCACTTCACGAATTCGTATCTTGTTTGTTCGACGGAGATATCTTCGTCAATGATGATCGCAGTTCACGAACGTTCGCTCGGGGCGCTGAAGTTTTGAGCCAGTATTGCGTCACGAAAGCGCAAGGTTCGCGAGGGATCTCAATTAACTGGACCGGACGTTGGGCGAAGTTTGATTATTGTGGGGAGAAGGAAATTACTTCGATTACGGTTATAATTAAATTATAGTTGTGATTCAAAGTTTCCCCCCCCCCTCAAATTGTTTGTTGATCTACCGGGAAATACGGCAGAGAACGAGATATAACTTTCGGCATCGCAAAGTTTCTTAAGCTTTCACTTAAGGAAATATCTTGCCTGAAAACACTTTCCCGTATTTTCCGTCAGGAAATTACTCGAGGTAATGCAAATTTCGGAGAATCTATTAACTAATGGTTTCCAATCTTCTTTTAAGATCGGCGACACGGTGGTTTCTTCTAAGAGAAAACTTCTGTTTACAGATGGAATTTGCTCCAAGGTAACAGAGTCGAAGTGATGCTATTTGAAGTAGCGATAGACAAGAACATTAATATTCCATTTATCTTATTATTGTATTGCGTGTGAATTAAATATTCGCTTTTTACGATGCTAGTTGGAGTGTGTGAGTTTTAAGTGATTTATGTTGAGTCACTCAAAAACATCATTATGCTAATAAATTATGACATACTGCTGGATCATTATTATACACGCCGCGTTATTGGTATATGCTGCATCCTAGAATGTGATAGTGTGCAATTGAAGACTCGTTACGCAATCAGTCTTCGACGACCTCGGCTTGATTGTATCAAACACTTCATTCCTCGTGCACTGTGAAGCGCGTGCACTGTGAAGCGCGTGCACGATGTTCATGATATTTAAAATAGTTTTCTAGTTTTTTGACCTTAATCTACGGTCATTAGTTTTTCTTACGACGTTATCAATCGTCGTTTTCTAAGAGAAGCAATGTGAAATTTGTTGTTGATGAAATGTCAATACTGCAGAATCTATATTTTTTTATAACGATTATTGAATACATTCTCGCTGTTGAAATAATAAATAGTAAAGACTTGACATTTTATGCCTCGAAGAAATAAACAGTTCTAACCGATATTCTTTGTTGCTTTTAGGTAGATTGTACGAAGGAGAAGTAGCTAAACATCGCCGAGACCATGGCTGGAGAGAAGCAATTCACGAGGAGCGAGATCGAGAAAAACAAGGATATCGACAAGGTCTACTTGATCCTGCACGATAAAGTGTACAACGTTCACAGTTTTCTCAACGAGCATCCGGGCGGCGAGGAGATATTGCTGGATCACAAAGGCAAGGACGCTTCCGAGGACTTCGACGATGTCGGGCATTCGAACGATGCCATGGAGTTGATGAAAAAATACCATGTTGGCGAGCTCACCGAATCGGATAAGACGAACAAATCGCCGAAGAAAGGCTGGGTCGCGGGATACAACAAGGATGCGGAGAAGAGCGGTAAAGAAAAATCCAATTCTATCTACTTAATCGTCGCCGGAATCGTGCTAGCAGTCGCCCTCATATATTACGTGTATTAATCAGCAGAATGTGTGAATGTGTAAGACTGTGACAAGTGGAAGAAGTGAGAATATTATTCTTGTATTATTACCGTAATTTCTCTACGTTTTCCAAAGCGTTATTATAATTATTAATTTCTTGGATAGACAAGTTTCACTTTGTATATGTATTTTTTTTCTCTAGTTCTGTCTTGTTCTGCGTTTAACCGGGTGCCGTTAATATTATTATAATTAATTTCTTGAATAGACAAGAGAGAGTTTCACTTTGTATATGTATTTTTTTTCTCTGGTTCTGTCTTGTTCTGCGTTTAACCGGGTACCGTTAATATTATTGAAATATGCAATATTTATATAAAAAATACGTCTACATGTAAATAATATACAGATGAGCATAATTTTTTATAGCTAGCAATTTTTTTAAGCATACTTTGATACACGCGCCTAGGCGCTTCATAGTTTAATTGCGATGCACACTGTTACGTAAGCCACGAAGCAAAAACAAATTTTATCTTATCAGAATGATTTCCATTTAGAACATAGTATGAGTTATTTTAACGAAACAATTTGTACGCGAACAAAAACTTTACAATAACGATTACAAAATAGAAACAGAAAAACTGAGCTAATGAAGGTTTATTTCTGCACTTTTAAAATCAACGTGGACATTCAACTTGTAAAAATTGTTAGAAATAATGGCTTATAATGCGTTTAAAAAAATACTTTACAATACGTTCAAAACTTTTTAAAATAACATTCGAGAATAAATCACACTTGAATTACAAAAGGCCAAAAAGATATATAAATGCTTGATTATTCTTATCAATTTTGTGAAATGCATTCAGTGTTATTACGCGTGTGATGTTTTAAAGAATTTCTTATCTGCGAACTGACCCAGATAACACTATCGCTTTTATATAGCTATGCTTTCAATGTGTTATATAAGTTAAAAATAATGACCGTTCTTTTATGGATTCTTGCAGCTAAACAGCGATATATATTAATTATCAATTTATATATGATAAACAAGTAATATTTTTTTAAAATACGCAAAAAAACTTTTAGCGCAATGATCTATACCGCCGCAAGGAATCGCGACGCAAAATGTAACGATTGCTAAAGAAATCTTATATTTTTACAATACACTGTATTTTTTTTTTTTTTTAAATTTAATTATCCGTAAAAAACACAACCGCGTGGCGTAACGATACCTAAAAACAATTAATTGGAAGAGTTAAAGATGAATATTAGTGCAAGAAAGGCGCCAGCCGTTAACTGGAGCGTGAGAATTTAACAATATGTATGCAAGATCGAGAAAACAGGGAAAGTGCTAAGAAATGCATTCGGAACTGAATGATACTCTCCATACGTTATATTGACGAACAGACATATTTATCGAATTGCAGTAGAAACCTTAATAATATTTGCCCGCGTGCATCACTGCCGAAACAGATATATGAGTAAAAATATACAAACTATTGTTTGAGCAAACGAGATACGCACTGCGTGAGATGACTTGTCGTCAACTAACATCAAACTTTTTTACGCATTACTTTTAATATATTAATGTCTAATATATTTCCAGAGATGTCATTTCGCGTTGTTCCGTACAGCGTGCCGTGACGCTGATGCGGCGTGTCGCACAGTGTGTGAATCCGGAGCCGCAATATAACGGCCCGCTTGGTAAGTGTACAGTGCTTCAAGCGTAATTGTCATATTCATCGACGTTAATTGTAACGCCGGACGAATTGTTACTCGTCCGTGACCGTCCACGTGCCTGCACACGACTATCCGGGGTCCACTGCTTTCCGGACAAATGTTGGACGTTGTTGCATCGCCCGACTTCCCTCCGTCAGCCTCCACCACCGTGCGTGCGCTGCGTGTCGGAACTCGCGCGCGCCCAAGTAGCGCGGTGACATATGTGAAAAACCGCATATCTTTCCTGTCAACCGACGGCCATCTGCTTTCCAGACCAACTTCCGGCGCCCGGGTGGTAACTTTGAAATGCACACCCAACTTCCCTTCCGCCCTTCCGTCCCGCTACGACTTCTCTGGGTCGCGGCGTACGGGATTCTTCAACTCTCTCGTAATCCTCTCGGCTGCGCTTCCTTTTATCTTTCTCCCTCCGCGCGAGCCCCTTCAACGCGCAAGAGGATGGCACTCTCGGCACGATGACCGCGGTATCTCCCTGGTATGTTGGAAACACTATATCATCTCGCGAAAACCGCGGACGTCTCGGCATTATTTTACTCTTGTCTTGTTATTTTACTCAATGCGGCAATATCATTCGCGGTTCTTTGAATACGCGATGAAAATACGCAACAATCAGCGATAATAATAACCGCTCGCTGATTAAGCGAGTCAAGACGGTGGACAGAATCATGTTGATACCGATATAAAATTGTCTCTCATTTTCTCCAATATCAATAATTGCAGACCACTGAATGTTTGCCGTAT